CGTTGTCCCCCTCGCCCCGAATATTTTTTTTAACTTCTGCTCTCCTGCGTTTGTTTTTGTTGGTAGTTCAACCAGTCCCTTTGATAGTTGAACCAATGGAGTTCGAAGCTATTGAAAAACAACACTGGAAATTTTATGACCCACACAGATGGCTGTTTTCGCATTTCATGCAACATGTTATTATTGTTTTAATGACGAACAATTTCGTTTTAGAACATTGTTTGATGTGTGATGTAATATGGCTACTGATTATTTTGTTTATGTCGTTATTAAAGATTATTTACTGACATAAAATGGATTCTGAAACCGATTACTTGGTATATCGGTCATATTAGCACATTTTGTCAACGTGAAGGCCTTACACTATAGTAAGCATAGTTATCATTATTGGTCATTGAAGCCAAGATCCCTAACTTGTACACTGATAATGAAATAAGTTTTTCACCAGCTGATTCGACTAATGAAGGCCAGTAACGCAGTGCAGTGCAATGAAGAACAGCGGCATGAGCCCACTCCTATTTGATCTTCAAGTGTTAAGGAACAATAACATGGACAGCCTGCCCGAACGCCTAGACTCTTTTCTTGCATCACTGACGGGGAAACCAGGTGAAAGAATTTATTTATTGAATTTATTGTGACATTATGTTGCAATTGATCTTTGATCTTCAGGTTAGCGAGAAATCGCCAAACACACTGAACCACCGTACACCCCCACCCCCACTCCACATACACAATCTTTACATTAATATGAATATAATATCTGTATCTAGCATCTATTCCGGGATAAGTATGACGCATTTGTTATATCCTTATTGCAGTATTATTCATATCTAAGATTTATTGGCAATTAGTCAGCATGTCACGGATGTACCGTTTTCAGTCCAGCTTTGCAAGAGATATGTTCAATCAATGAAAATTGGTCTGCATATATTTTTAACTCTGGGCGATTATCTTGTTTATTGTTTATAATGTTCTGACCAGTTAATCACGGTAGAATTTTAGAAAATGTTGGATCCTACGAGAGAGTACGCCGTCCAAAAAAATCGGCTCGTGCATAACTATAGCTTCTAGTGTTTTTCTCACTCACCAAATATTCTTTTCCTCGAAATGTTTTGAAAGCTTACTGATGATATGAATAGGATGATCTGCTGCGTAAGAGCTCAATGTAACATAAAATCTTCAGCCAAGTAGTCATTCGAGTACCGAAGAACCGATGGAAGACGTGTGACTTACTTGCACTCAATATGTTTTTTCTTACTGGCAACTAGTGCTTGTGGGTAAGTCATAAACTAATTGGTTGTTAAATTAATGTCATCCCAGGTTAAAGTAATTGTAATTGCCTGGAGTAGGTTTCTTATATTACTTTGCAGTAAATAGATATACACATGTATAAAAACAAACATGAGCCATGCATAGTTATACATTCAAAGTTTTCTTCAAATTGCTTTGATTCATTTTTTACCAAAAATGATTTTGAATTAAGATAATTGCCATGCCTAAAGCAATGGTTAAATTGGTTGTACAAAGTCCAAAACTGGTTTTTCTCATCTGCTATCGATTTTTGAAACTTGTTTAGTTTATCTAAACTTTTAACCTGCCTTCATTGATGAGCTGAGATCTTAGCCACCACTTCTATTCAGTCGAGTTTAATGATGGAAAACGAGTGAGTTAAAAGAGAAATTTAATCTTTCAAACTTTGTCCAATTGACTAACGCTAGAAGTTGATCTGTCTTAATCAACAAGTCTCATTAGACGTGGGAGATACATCAACAGTGTTTATCTCTACTTATCATTCTGTCTTGCAGCCTCTGATCATTTCTTAAATCAATATTTATGTCCTTTTGTGGTGTCGCAGCCAACCCGATTCTATCTACTAGATAACCGAGGGAAACTTCTGTGGAATGACAGATATGGGCACTTTTTCTTCTTTGAATACATTCTTGATCAAAACTAGATAGTGCCTTAATAGCATGTGCTGAAGCTTCTTTCAGGACTTTCTTTCCCCACACACTTCAATAGAGTAGAGTCGCAAAGTCTTTAAATTTTGTGTCGTTTCATTGAACATTGAGAAAATTTCGAAAAAGTATGTTTTTTTGCAAGAAAATAAATAAATAGAACGATTTAATACACATCATTATTATTTTTTCCAGCTTGGCCATACTTAGCATTTATCCTGGATTTTAGTGTAGCCTCACATGAAATAAATTTATATACATGTAGCGTGTTTAGGTTCAGAAAATATAATTTTTCCAGAAGTTAGAGCAAAATGAAATGCAGGTTTGCATTATAACAAGAACCAAAACTACTGCATTGTTGTGTTAAGTATACGAGATTAACGTTATGACTAAACGAATGACACACTTGCGACGCTATCGGAGAGTGACATCAGATGTCTCGGAAGAATGAACATTGCCTGTGCCTCTAACGACAACTGCTTCAGTACTCATTATAGCAGAACTTCATTAAAGTGAGTGATGATATTTTTCTGTCACCATGCACCTCCTAACTATACCTCTAAAATTGATTTTATGTATTTTTATTCAATTATGATATTCCATTGAATATCGGCTGTGATTATCCAAGTAAATCATTCAGTAGACAGGAACCTGCTTCAAAAAACTTTTTAAACAAATCTATATTTTTCAAATTGTTTCAACTGAGAAAGTAACTTGATTGAATTACATACTTTCCACCTATCACATGGTATCTGCGTAAATGACAATTCGTTGACTTATTGACGAACCGGCGAATATGACCATTTTTCAGAAAATCTCTTTTTGGGATATTATTACTTAGTTGATTATGCACTTTCGTTTAGTGTTAGTTGTTACGATGTAACCTTTTTGCCTACTTTGATTGCATAAGATAGTTTTGTTACTTATCGACAAAGTGACGAATGATCCCCCGCAGTTACTATTGACAACCATAGTGGCAAATACCAATAACTTTTTCCGAACCTAACCAATGCCCCCAATTTACCAAAAGGGACATAAATTTTGCAGTTAAACCTGGGCCATAGATTGATGTAATATATGAAGGCCAACATCATTAAAAATAGTGTTTCATTAATTTGTAGGTCCAGCCGAATTAGACCTAAAACTTCATTTGCATTTTTCTCAAAAAGTGAAAAAGGCCATTTTCAATAGTTCGTCATTAAGTCGACGAATTATTCGGATGCTTAAAATAAAGATTAAAGGATTCGTCATCCATTTGGCCAATCGTACCTTAGTCTCAGAAATAAGTAATATTGTTCGCAGGTCACTGTCAAACTTTGAGCCTCCAAATCCGTGTGTGTACAGAGTTATCCATATATGAAAGTTAAGAAAACAGCTCAAGAAAACAACTCGTCTTTTCTTCAGACTGCCATATATATAAAAGACATATGGAAATAGAAAGTCAAATTCCTAGTTTGATATATTTTGGAAGGAATTTTCTAGTACTTCTTATGACTATTTACATATATTCCAGGCTTGAATCAATCCCCCAAATAATAGAATCCGTCCCTTTATATTTGATTTTTAATTAATGCTTCTCCTTCACCCATAGCAATATTTCAGAGCGTTGACATAGCCACATGTTTTACAATTACTAGTATTTTTTAATGCAAATTTTTTTTGTCGAACTCAAAACAACTAATTGCAGACTTTTATTTTATTTACTTCATTGTATAATGTGTCGTTTGAAATCATTCGCTATTTATATTACATGTTTGAAGAAATTTGTATTGTCAGTTTGTCGTGCTCGTTTAACTAAAAGAACGGTCAATATTATCAAATATTCATTTGAAGACAATGTACAGAAATAACCTATAAAGTTTCTAATTATGGAATCAGTGACGTCAGAAAAGAATAAAACAAATTACTAGGACAGATATGAGATAAATTTGTCACTAAGGCAAAAATAATTATTGTTAAAATGGAGGTAATAACCACCGTAGTTTGGTGGATCTGAATATGTCATGGAGTAATTGTTATTTCAAAGTCATTATGACTTACTTTAACTAAATACAAACTATAACTAACTCTTAATAACCATCACCCAACTTGCATTCAGAATCTATGATGTTTCTGAAAAGGTATCATATGTTATTCCACGACAAAGATGGTGACATAGCAGCTGTGTGTATATATATCCTTCCAGAATTTAGTATAGAAAATGATATATTCTATTCTTTTGAATTGCCTACTTATGTATCTGATCTGATTTCGGATTTGATATTTTTGGTAGATTCCCTTTTAATCACTGACAGATGAGATAAAAATGTGCCCGAAATCCCCAAAGTAGGATTTAAAAGCCATTCCATAATGGCGTACAAAAAATAATGATGTATTGAGATAGAATATTTATATATTGACGGCAGATGTACTGACAAAATGTGTGGGTGCTGGTACGAAAAATGAAGATGATCTTTAAAAAAAAAAACTAGATGAATGAGCGAAAAAAAAATGCTGAAGACGTATTGGCAAGAAGTGTTATTGTATATATTGTAAAGATAGGGTAAAAGTAAGCGTGTGTACATAAGAATTGTTTTTGTAGTGCCTTTGAAGTATTGATTTTCAATTTCAATTGCTATCCGTAATATAATCCTCAATACACAGATTTGCAGAATTATTCAAGTGCATCCACACCAGAAATGTGAATAAGGCACTAAAGGTGGGGAAAATTGGACGAGCTAAAATAAATAATTTATTAATAACTATTTATATTCAAGGCGATAACTAATATATATTATTCATACAATATACATCAAAGCAACTTCTTTAAGCTAAAACACTTAGCTACACCATCAGTATTTGTATCGAATCATCTTATCTCAGGTTATCTTTCGTCATATTTCAGTAAACTTTTCACAATTTCACAACCGCTTGATAATATTCAATGCCCAAATTCTTAACTGCTAACAAACAGTGCCGTTATCGCATTATGTTAGTTAGCTAACTGAATCCATTCTGAATTCGTTAAGGAGTAAGTTAAACGCCCATTGATCTATATTTCACACATCAAGTTGTTTTATCTGGTTTAGTTGATGGCATTATGACCAACAGATATATAGTTGACATAAAGGTCCCGAGAACAAATATCCAAAATAAAACACGATCAACCACAATTCCAACCTCTTGCCATTGTTTGCACAAAAACTCATTTCTGTCTTTTTCACTTTCGCGGCACATTAACTCATGGACTTTACCTAACAGGTCGTTTAGTTCTTGAGAATCCATTTTGTCTTCACGGCGCCTATTCACTCGTTCTTTTATACGTGCATTGTTCGGTTCGCCATTTTCAAAATCAATTAAACCACAGCCGGAATCATGTGAAATATTATTAGCTATACCTTTGTATAGCATTTGATTACCCTGCTTACTCGTGCATCTTACTATTGTTCCGTCGAATCCGGCACTAGGGACAAATCTAAGCTTTATACAACACACTTTGGACAGAATAAGGACAAGATGTTTTAAAAACGGTGGAATTATCTTCTCACGAAGTCCGCTGTTACTGATATTACTGACTACTACCGCCATGATAACTGATAATGAAGTTAAGGACATTATAACTGTTAAATATATACCTGGAATGATAAAGAGACCTATATAAATACATGAACTAAGAAGAAATGTTTTAAGGTCTTTTCGGTACAGATCAAAGGCTTTAAGTGGCTTAGTATTTCAACGGCCGATTGTATTTTGAATGAGTTTTTAGATGATAACTATGATTCTGATATTTGTTCTTGTATTTTGGTAACACGCCGATTTCTGACATTAAATGGATTGCCAATTACGATAGGTCAAGGAAATTCATATCATGAAAGTTATAGAAGTACTGTCATGCTAGAGACATGTTAATATCATAACGCTTGTTTTCAAACGTTTGATATGTGAAACTTTGTAATTATGGTATTCGAAATGGAGATGAAGAGTAAAATTAGATCCAGTATATTTGAAGTGGAGACATCAACAATTAATCAAAGAGTATGAAAGTTGTCTCGATGAAGGGTAAATGTCATTTACTATTGAGTATTTATCAATAAGCACACGACCTTTATCTGTAAATAGACTAAATCATCTGATGACCAATCCAGTCTTAACTATTTGTCTGTAGCTTGAGGCTGAGGAAGACCGAAAGTCTGTCTCGTTTATAAAATAAAAGTCGGGTGAAATTGTGCTTTTATGTCTTTGGGAGTTGTACGCCAGTAAACGAGACTACATAAAAATTCAATTTAAAACGATGTTGATTTCAGTGTTGCTTTAATGCATCCAAGAGTTGGTCACACAAATTATCATTGTAAGCATTTAAGTGTGACATATACCCTTATGTCGACACAAACTGGAAATTTCATTTCTTTGCGATCAGATTTAGTCGGAAAAGAGTAAGATTTTCGCCGACTAAGTGCCGTATTCAGCTCAAAGTAAAAAATTCTTATACAGCACAACCATTGTCGAGTCGATGTGCTTAATCCCGTAATCCTTAATAGTTAAGAAGTAAACAACATTGGTTATTTAAATTTCTTTAAATCATGCAAATGACAATTAAATCATTCTTTTACAGTTTCTTCCTTTAAGTCATTTAATCTCCTGAGTTTGTCGTAATGCAATAAATCTTTCTATAGACAATGAAAGCCTTACACGTTGAAGGTCTGCTATACTATTGTTTCGGCACTGTTGTGAATATTAATGACGACTGAACGGATGATTTATACCATTGAGAGATGTTTAAGCATGTTGAAACACTGTTCATGTAAATCGACTCAATACAAGTTGCTCATTTAATCATCTTGGTAGACTTAGACAACTTGAAATAATATAATGATTAAGTAAAGTTAATTAGACGAGAACCATCTGGGGATCACAACTATACTTACCAATCAATGGTACAAAACTTGAAGTAGCAGGCATATTCTCAGCTATCAGCAACATAAAGACAGAAAATGCCAATAAAACTGTCAAACCAAGAGTAACCTTTTCACCACTATCTGGACTCATCCAAAATACCAATAATGTCAATACAGATAGCATGATACATGGTACAATTACATTATACATATAATACAGTGTTCGCCGTCTCAGATGAATGGAAAACGTTACATCTGGAAATGGTTCAGGACAGCAAGGATATTTAACTACATGGCGTTCAGCGTTAACACTCAATAAATCCCATTCACCATTACTAACAAAGTTCGATAGATCCACTGGTTTCGATCGGTTAAATACATCAACCTGAAAACCATCATAAGCCCAGGATCCAAATTTCATGTAACAAAGTTGATCATCAAACGGGAAGTAAGTAATATCAATATGACAGGTACTGCGAAATTTTACTATTGGTGGCCAAAAGACTTTTCCTTCATTAGATACCATCGCTAACGCCTGCATGTACCCATTGGTGTAGTCTTCGGCACTGAAATGAAAATACATAGATTAAATTTAATTATTGAGGTTTTATACACGTAATTGAGAAGGATGATATTGCCTTTTATTGAAACGAATGGTCTTGTCTATCGCGCTCCTGCTAAGAATTACAGAATACCATTCCACCTTACAATTTTCAAGTAAATTTTCTTATATCTGACGGTCTATTATTTATTTAACTCCTGAACTATTGCACTGAAACATTCAATTCATCAACAGTTAAGTTTAATTGTTTGAGTCAACCTTATTTACTGTGGTTGCTTGGCTTCAATAAATATTCAATACTTGTATAATATCTCTATTACTGTGAGTGTAAAGTCAACTATGTTAAAACATTCTGGTTTCACTCAAGTTCTCAAGGGCCATACATCAGAATCGTAAACATTAAATTCGAACCACTGGGTTTGACCATGATAGATTATGTGATTAAAGTGTCTTGTGTATTGAAAAGTGTCACAAGTAAATGAAACTGAGTTAGTTTTTAAGGTAATAACTTCACGATTATATCGTTTGAATTGACTCAACTTGTAACTGTTATGAAAATCGCAATTCAATTTGTATGCTAGGCACAAGGTTTTTACCTGTTATATAGAATAATATCCGGTTTCCATATTTTATGACATGGAACTCGTAAAACTTTTAAACCATTAAATTCATCAGGATTCCATTTCAATTTCTCATCAAACCATTCCTGAAAAAAATCCAGAAAATTTATTTGCCCAAGACTCAAGGGTACTGCCATGAATCAAAACAAACCAAGTATCTTTCATGTATGCGTGACTTACTTCGGACACCGCAAAATAAACATGTAAAATAAATATAAACATGCATGAACGCCAACAACAGGTTTAGAACTTTGGGCTTGGCACATATATTGTTTGCGACTGGTTGTTATGGAAGCAGACCATATTATATCTGAAAATTTTTATTTACAGCTGAGATAAGCTCCATAAGTTGTTATCAATACTGTAGTGTAAAACTAGCACAGTATGTTTCTGAATAGTCTTGAACACAGGCTGGGTATCAATTAACTTAATGAGCAAAGGTTAAGTCTGTTCTCATATGAATTGATTATTAATCACCATTCTGAACAACTATACAATAGTCATGTTTCATTATTGGTAATTGACAAATTCAGTACAAGAATGGACTTAACATTGGTGGTGTTATCTCCCCTTCGATACATCTCCAAAAAGTATTTACCACCACGACGAAACATTTTTTTTCACGAGTGCGAAATATATAGCCGTTTTCGGAAGGAATACAGTTAATTCGTAACTCCTTAAATTGCAATTACTGCCAGTAATTACAGACAATTTTTTTTTAAAAGTCAGAAAACAATTCGAGTGATAGAACTTTCACAGGGATTTAAATGTCAATAATACAATTAACTTTCCAATAAACCTTTTTCAAAACTTACAAATTGACGTCATTGTACATACCTGATCTAACCAGACATTGGTGGTCATAACTTGATTTTTTTCTTCCTGAAATGACAAGTAAATTATTAGGCTTGAACCCCGCATCTTTTCCGAAAGCGTTTGATGAAACTCATTTAAGCTTATTCAAGTAAAACTTTTTTTTACAAGTTTCTTGATCCCAAAAGACTTCCTAAATCATTTGCATGTAAGTGACTTTCGTAGTTTTTTGTGCCGAACATAATGTAATTAGATGTCATTGAATTTTTTACATAGCAGTTATTGACTGATAATGGCATAATCGACAATATTGTACTCTACAATGAATAATAAATTATCGCTTTTCGTGTAACGGGACTGAACTGATATAGATTTTAATAGAACTGGGGCTAATTAAAGTAGTTGTTTATTAAATGTCTGAAATTACATAATATGTATTAAGTTCTTTTTGTACATGATATGTATGATCCTGGAAAAAATATGTTTTCAAAATCATCGGGCTAATTACGGCGGCAACTAGTTCCAAAATAGCCAGAAAATCAAAGCAACAGAAGGTCGCCTCTAAAACAGGAAAATATGGCAAATGCAAGCATGACAAAAAAGACAGTAATTCGTAAGGGTTCTTCATTTCCTGCTATCCTGTGATTTAGGAACTTTCGTAACAACAGTCAGATGTCAATGAAACCTGCTGCCTAATTTATCTTGATATATTAGTAATTCATGAATACGTTTATACGTCATAAATCATCATGACTGAGATGAGCTGCTCACATTCCCCTTGATATACAATAATGTATTTTAAGTGCTATTATGGTAAATATGATTATTTTTTATGGTAAATCAATAATATTATATTAACTGATGATTATATATGACTCTATTATATCACATTATTTTATCCTTTCTACCCTAAACCTTCTATATACCTCATCAACTTTAGTCTATATGATCCCCTACAGCACAATCTTTATCTGAAAAAATGATCTTTAGCGTCGCATTCTATTACCAGTTGAAATAAATTCCATTAACGTAGAAAAGAAGATCTGGTTAAGATGGTAACTGAGGTTAAGATGAATTAAATAATATTTCATTGAAGGGCTATATAAAATAAGATCAAATTTGGGAAACTATTTTGTGACCACAGTACTATGACTCAAAACATTTCGAAAAATAGTGTCTGAAGAAAAAATTGTTTTTACTTATGGATTGTTTTTGAGCGTTTGTACACAGATAATGTAGATTAACACTACTTCAAAGATAGCTTTCGTTGCAAGGTAACATACGCCCACTGGCAGCTGTCAGAAATAATAAAACAGTCTTTAGTGACTAAAGTACAAATTTTCTCATATTGAAGAAATTATTTATGCTGAATAATTCCACAAAATTTTTTAAAATCAATATCAATAACCCAAATACAACAAACAATTAAATCACACAGCTCTAATCAAGGGCAAAAAACAACTTTTGACGCATGTTTACAAAGTCAAGGGCAATAACTCAAAAAATGTTCATCAAAAATATCTCTTGTTAGAACTTGTCTGAGATCTCATCAATTCCAATGATCACACCAAGTTTCATCAGAATCGGTTGAAAACTGTGATCAATGATCACACCAAGTTTCATCAGAATCGGTTGAAAACTGTAGCTTCTATTGTGCTCACGAATAAATTTTGACGCGTTTTTACAAAGTCAAGGGCAATAACTCGAAAACCGTACATCAAAAATGCATCAAGTTAGAACTTGTCCGAGATCTTATCAATTCCAATGATCACAACAAGTTTCATCAGAATCGGTTGAAAACTGTAGCTTCAATCCTGCTCACAAACTATTTCCACGCATTTTAACAAAGTCAAGGGCAATAACTCAAATAGAGAAAAACGTCAAGTCACGACACGATATTTCGGTGAAAAATTATCCGATCATCACGAAAATCAATAGGGATCTTTTCATAATGACATTGACACACGAAATAAAAATCAAAAGAATCTGTAAAGAATTGTAGCCTGTAGAGTGAGCACGAGTTGCACAATATAGCTAATAGAGAAAAACGTCAAGTCAGACACGATATTTCGGTGAAAAATTATCCGATCATCACGAAATCAATAGGGATCATCTTCATAATGACATTGACACACAAAATAAAAATCAAAAGAATCTGTTAAAAATTGTAGCCTGTAGAGTGAGCACGAGTTGCACAATATAGCTAATAGAGTAAAACGTCAAGTCAGACACGATATTTCGGTGAAAAATTATCCGATCATCACGAAAATCAATAGGGATCATCATAACAATATTGACATACAAAATAAAAATCAAAAGAATCCATAAAGAACTGTAGCCTGTAGAGTGAGCACGAGCCAAATGTGAACGGACGGACCGACGGACCGACGGGGTGATTACAATATACGCCTATCTTGCGTGTGGGCGTATAAAAACATATATGTGTGGAAGAGTTGATAACTCGGGAAACATCATTTTTGAGCCAATGTTGTTCAAGCCTACCTAACGAAGAGAGTCATCATGAATGCTTTTCCACTACAGATTCCGGATTGACAAGGAATTAAAATTATTAATGTTGTCGTTTCCCATGAAATTATGAAGACCTTGTCAGCAGCAATCACAATTTTTAATGGTATACTATAAATTTTAATAAGGTAATTGTCATTGTTGGAATGCTCGACCGCCCAATTTACTGGTGTCGCGATTTTCAAATTTGTACCCTAAAAGTTGGACAGCAACACAATTCATTGCATTTATTTTTTCAGAGACAGTGTAGCAAGCACTATTAAACAATAATTGCATTAAACCCACACATGTATTACTTACCACATCAAAAATCTGTGTCAATGTAATACCGATATAAACATTGACTGGATGAGAAGCATTGAATACAGGTCTGGTATGGTTATCATAATAATGCATCAAAGTCATAAACAATCTCTGTTCATCTGTTAATATTGGAACACTTCTATTAAAACATATCTCATATTCTGAAATATATTATAGTATGTAATATCATTGAATCATCTGAATTGAATGGAATGAGGAGACACTATACGGTTGTATTTGCTTTCACCAGATCTGTCGCAGTTGGTAAGAGAGAAAAGCTATTATAGGAATTGCTTGGCCAACCTGCGATCCGGTTGAATGTTTTTGGAAGAAAGATATATGTGCATAAGCAGCTGAATGAAACTGCGATTTTGTTAGTCATTCGTGTCAAGTCGACTAAATCCAACGATATATCAGATTCTCTCAGTCACTCCATTCGGATTTTTTTTATCCCGGTTTCACCCTGTAAGAGGGAAAATATGTGCTATTACTTTGCGTGAATATTTGCAGCTCGCACAAATTATTGTAAAAAAAATAGAACGTTCAAATATTATACGGTCACACGTCTAGGAAAACTCATTATTAAGTGTGACTAACATGTTCAATTGATTTTATAAAAAGTTAGAGCCTTCCAGTTAACATCTTGAAAAGAACTAAATGAAATGTTATGTATAAGAACACGATCCGCGATCAATTTAACATCAGCAACCAAATGAATGCAGCCCGAATGTCACCATCCTGTTGAAAGCAAAACGTGAGTATAAATATAAATGTACCCCTTATAGCTTGAGTCATTTGGTGCCATTTTAAAACAGTTCAAAATACACCAACTTTTGAAACGTTTGAATGCCCTTTCGGTGTAATGCTGCACTGAAGTGTAGTAAATATATGGCCATTATTCATGGAGGTGGTATTTTGTACCAAATCTTAAGCTTGAACTGTTCAATCTTTATATATCAGTTAGCATAAACATGGATACTTTTCACATGCAATTTCCGGCTTTGAAATGTCAAATCTGGTAGACATATCTTCAGGCAAATGTGAAGTCTGATGTACGTGAGCATTAATATAAGCAATTCAGTATTATACATACCTGCTACCGACTCCACATAATAATTATATAACAGACAACAATATGTCCAAAATATCAAAATGCCACAAATCTTCATTATAAAGCCATTAGAATTGTCTACTTCTTCTGATCACAATAATAACTTATTGCTGAAATATTAACACAGGTTTACCAATTCCCAATAGAATAATTATCGTTATACGAACAACTTAACAGTAGTTTTAACACATGGATTAAAGCCTTGTCTGGCAGTATCATAAAGAATGGTAAAATTTATCTACAGTGCAAATTCACAAAAAGGCGGTAACCTGAACGATGTTAGTATAAACAAACTGAAATGTTAAATATTCTTATAATTTTTCCATTAAAGGAAATAGTGATGCGGGATGGGGAACGGGTGTTTTCATTCTGCTTTATTCCGTTCTCGTCTCAGGAATCCATGGAAGGAGATTTTCAGTAGGATATCAGTATGTCAACACAATATATGGACATACTTAGTCTTGTGGCATTCCACTTGCGATACAGTTTATTCAAAAAGTGTTTTCGTTTATTTTGGTAAATTAATTGTTATCAACAAAGTGTGTCCAGTTATGCACATGTAATTGAAATGAATGCTTAATTGACAGTGGTAATAGTACTGTAGTCTATGTACTTACACATGCTAACTTAATGTAATGAGTCGAAAATAATGAACATGCTTGATTTGATTCCTTGGACGTGAAGCGATCTGTCACTTCCATGTCATGACTCTACATAGATGGTTAATTTACTTTCCTGATTTACGATTCTTGTTTGGTCTTCAAAACTGCATGATGGCGATGTAAACTTTCTTGAAGGATAAATTTGTATGGGTTATGCTTGATTTCTATACTGAGGGGTGAAATCGGAGAGTTCGGTTAAAAAGAATAGCCTTTAGCAAATATTTTCTAATTCAGAAACTGTTTTCTTTATACCACTAATTTCAGCCCATGGGAGAGTGGTTTGAAATAGACACCATCAATCATTTTGTAGTAGTTACTGATGGATGGCATGATTGCAAATTGGACATCAAAGTGACTAATTTTAAAATATGACACCTGACCAATGGTCTTAATAACACATTAGCATTTTGTGCTGTCAATTATCACAACTGTAATCTATAGGTCCATGTAAATAAAGTGGTGAAATCGATCATTGATCGAATATAACATAAGAATCTGCCAAAAGTTTGTCGAGGCAACCTATTAAAATATGTTTGATAACAATCTGGTCAAATGACCGCATATCCCTTATACGTGAACGTAGCAGAAAACCAAATATAAAAGCCTGAGGTGTTCATCACAAGATAGCAGTAAAAGTTAGAAAGTCATCTTAACTCATAATTCCTGTCAACCCAGCTGTAAATGGGTACGGATAATCCGGGATAGATTAATGCCAAGAGCTTCTTTAATTGTGAACCTAAGTTGTTATCCTTGTAAAATATAGTTGTTTTTTTCTTACTCTCGTATCCAAGCCTCACTTAGTTTTCCTTTCTCTTCAGCACAATTAACAGGGATTAACCTTTATTTGATACAAAACAGACGCCAGAATTTAATATATTTAAATAGAACCGTAGCCTGTAGTTTCAGTTCACTCTTACTAGTAAAATGCTGAAAGAAATCAGACCAGTACATATCACCATTACCTTGGCATCAATCTACAAATACTAAGAGTATGATACTCTCGATTTTGCCATACTTTGGATGGGATTTTGATAAACAGAATTGCTAGCTTGAACATATTTTCATTATCTGACCAATCGGGCAATTACAATTGAGTCAAACTCTATAAATCAGTCTAAAAACTTTTAATAAAATCCGTGCCTTCCAATCAACAACTAAACCAAACATTATAAATATCGAGTTCATCAAGTTTCGTTCAAATCTGATCAAAACTGTAGTTTCAATCGCGTTGGCAATCCAAGTCATGAAAAGCGATCTCCACATTATAATGTGCGTGTATAAAAATGGAAACGAAAATACAAAACTAATGTAAATCTAATCTCATCATGTTTTTAATTAGTGAATTATTTTTTTCAATTTTGATTTTACTTCATATTACTAAAGAGAAATAGCTGTCCATTTTAATATCGTGAGTTCGGTGCTACGTGTTTAAGATAAATAAACAAGTATGTACAAAAGTAAATACGACTGATAATCAGATGATATAATTTTAATTTTAAGACAATTTTCAAGTAGAATATAACTACACAAGTAATACAATAATAAACTTACCTTGAATAATAATTTAATGTTCCAATAGCTTATTGATGTACTTTAGACAAACTTTTACATGAGCATGGGTATGAGTATATCACAATTGCTACTTAGTTTCCCAGGTGTATCTAAGTAGTATGAGGTGTTATTGAAACTATTCCAATACGAAAGCGAGAGAAAATATATCCTGTGAGAATTAGTAACTGTAAATGATCACTGACAATTCTAAACATCAACAGTGAGTTTGAAGAAGTAGTGGTAGTAATCTCCGGTAGTTAGAAGAGAATTTCCGTTCTGGTCAATAGTAGTCCAATGATTGACATCTCTTTACTAATCAATCTAATAGTTAACTATTCAATACTTCATTTTAAATAATACCTCATCCAGAACTTATAATCAAATAGCATGCACAATTCTAAAATAACTTTCGAAATTTGGTTATCACGCTCTCTTTTATCATCTAAAGTACCATCTCTTGATAAATATAAATATACAACGATATTCTTCATTACAAACGTCTAACATGATATAATCATGTAATATCATTTCGTTTCAGTCTGAACTCTTTTTAAACATCACATTATCTGCTGTAGCATAGATGTAAATTATCAGAACCCTTGACATAAAGAAACATTATGGCTTAGAGTTTACACACTTTCTGTCGATGCCTCTGATTTGCTGTACTAGCAAGCGTACAATCCAATCTATTCGCTGCAGTTATAAACGTATGTGATACAAAAAAGTATAAGAGAAAGTTCGTAATAGCTTGACATTGTGAAGATGATGAGCCAACGACCAGGTATCAAAAGATCTAAGGCATCAAGAAACTGACCATAACTTTAAAATATTCTGTCATTGCGTGAATAAGTAAGATCGGTAAAATTTTATAATTAGTGCTAAATATTTAAATCAGTCTCCTAGCGAAGTCTTCAGACATTTGAAGCACAATTAGCAAACTAACGTGATGTATAAGTCTTTAGTTAGAAAAGAAGATGTGTCCCCTTGTTGAAAAAATTATACAGGTTCGCACATCAAATTATTCCATATTTTCCTTCTGCAGATTACATAATATGTAGTTTATTTTAGTACTTGACTTTTAATCTATCCCTTTTATAACAGTTTCATAGCATGTGTTTGAGCCGATATTTCAGAGCAGCACATTACATGGAATTCCTTCGCCAGGGATAAAATAAGTGAGTCACGTAATGCCACAATACGTGAAAATTGTCAATGAAGCTTTTCATGGACGTCATATCCCTGAACTCGGGTTCGAAACCTATCAAGATATTTATGTTTGTAGTTCGTTTTCATGCAGGTTTGTGGACATATTTCTGACTGACCAGCACTAATATAGTTCTTACAGTTCCTATTACAATTACCGTGATTAAACACACAAGTAATTTGTAGCTGTCAGAAACAAAGTTTATTTGCCACCGTGTATTAGAAAGGTGAAGAAAGTGTTTCATGAATCAATTGTCTTAACATAAGGTCAATTTGCTGTATCTTTCGTTGTATTTAATTGGATTTATCACCTTATTTTATTCTTGTCAATGTCAGGACTTACTTCATTTAAACATTTGTTTGGTTTCAAAACGTTTTAAAGTTATATCTGAAATTGACTTGTATCCTTAAGTTTATTACAATTAGACGTCAACTCCTGGATTTATATCTGTTTGTACGAACATTTTTGAATTGTAGGAACCATCGATAACAGTAAGAATAATATTGTAAATAATGAGGAGGAATTGTTGCTGTAAAACATCTATTTTAATGGGAATCAAATATCGTGGATTTGTTCTTAAGAGACATATTCTTGGGAATGTAAATTTCTGGAATCAACTATTTTTCCCATACTAAATTTAAATTCTTATGTTTCACAAGTAATCTGAATTTGATTGTCCATAATTATTATGATTATCATCAATCGTTAACCTCTTTATAACAATAAAAATTACTGGACTTTCTATAATGTTTTATAATTTGATGGAACGAAAATTCTGATCCAAGAAAATAAATGATTACACAATACATGTATATGATTCTATACCAGATTTCCTGCTTTTCTGTATATTCCAATACACTAATTTTCCTGACTCCCCAGCGGAAGTATATCACCAAAGTTGAAAATGATTATTAGTGAATAGCTTGCAACACCAAAATACAAGTGATAGATCAAGCAAACTGATAAAAACAGGTTCAGATATATACCGTAACTGATATTTATATCTATTCTATTAGTAAACTTGATAATTATGTTTGGCATCTCATTGCTATAATAGTCCATTGTCGATTTTAATTAATAATTAAATAAACCTTTATCTCTTATTATGGTATTCTATATCGATTAGGAATAGTTACAATCAAATACCATTTTAACTTTGATGGATGATTACTCTGTCTACCTTACATACAACATCATCCCAACGAGATGGCTAACAGATATTTTACATCGTATTTCGGTACCGAAATAGTTTCAAAATATTTTCGGGATTGGTTAACAAATCTGATTGCGCACTGGATAAGAACAAGGTAGAAACTGCTAGACCGATACGGCTTTTTATGTTACTATGAACTTCACGTGACGCTATCACAGATCGCTTAGCATCAAAAAATCAACCAACTCCCTGGAAATAGCCAATTATCATACACAGTCCTTCATTCGCATAAATATCCAATGGAAATAAAGTAAAAGCAAGAGACGCTTTAATGCGTAGCATGGCTCTTCGATCAGAGAAATTTCTGCTTACATAGTATGACCGATTTTTGGCGGTGAAAGTAAAGCTTGCTAGGGAAGGCAACTTACGCCTACTGGCAGCTGTCAGAAATGATTATTGAGTACATTTTCTCATTATCATAATTTTCA